TAAGCAAACAACAGGGGCGTGAACTGCTCCCGGGGAGGGCAGACTCCACGTGGAGTTGGAAAGTCGAGGCTATACAACTTCCCAGAGCACGAGAGAGGGGTGGCGGGTCGCACAGAGAGTGAGCCTGGGAGCCTACTCATCATGACTTTTAAAAAACAGTGACTGCATTAAATGGGCATGCAGAATATTTCCCCAGATTTCTTCCCAGCCACACAGCCTTCTCCTGAGGTTTGGCTTCAGCCATCGTGACGTGTGGTTTGGACATGAGTCTGGAATCAATAATGTTTCTAGCACCCTGTGCTTTTCCCGCTTGCTCCGGGACAGTCTGTCCTGTGTTGCGTTCCTTTAGGATTTGCTAGGAGACTCGTCGTGTAAGTTGATAAATCGTTTTAGTAGCCAGAGGTGATCACTGTGTGTGTTATTTATATGGAGGTCTCAGTATACTAGGAGTGACAAACCCGGGAACTTAAAAGCGCCTGGCACCTCCTGGGCAGCTGTTCTGGAGGTCCTTGAGTTATACCGCCGAGGCAGCTTGCCTGGCCCAGCTCCGAGGATGGCTTCAAAGGGCGCCGAGGGACTGGAAGGTTTAGCGACAGCAGGTTCACTGAACTGTAAGTTTCCAGAAGTGTGCGCAAGCAGTATTAATTTATTTGGTCCAAAATACTTGAATTAATTGAAAAGTACCCATGCAGGAGGGAACTGACTTCAACTTTGAGTTTTCCTTAAAAACTTTAAACCCTTGCCCAGCTGGCGTGGTTCAGGGGTTGAGCATCGGCCTATGAACCGGGAGGTCACGTTTGATTCCCAGTCAGGGCACATGTTCGATCCCCAGTAGGAGGCATGCAGGAGGTATCCGATTGATGATTCTCTCTCATTGTTGATGTTTTTTTTTTTTTTTTTTTTTTTTTTTTTTAAAATCAATCTTTATTGTTCATATTATTACAAAGGTTCCTCATTTCTTCCCCCCTCCACCAGGTTCCCCCCCCACCCTCCGTCCCCCCCCCCCATCCCCCATTGTCCTCATCCATAGGTGCAGTTTATGTTCAGTCTCTTCTTCCCTCAATTTCCCCAATAGTAAATCCCTTTTCAGATAGTAAATCAGTTACTTAGCATTTTCTCATATCAATAATACCTCCACATGCCCAATGATACACTTCACACAAAAGACATTTCCCACTAGGTCAACCAGCCTCATCCAGGCCCCACCCAAGGCACTCACAGATCAACACCCCAGTCCTAAACTAACTCAACACATCCAGATCTAAGCCTTCATCACTTGATTCAGCAGACCCTCAAGTTCCCACGCAAGTTTCCAGCCATGTCTGAGAGGCAGCCGTGGGGCAGGGGCAGGCAAGGAGCGAGCTGTTCTGGGCCTGGCTGCTCAGGGCCTGGCCTCTGTTGCTCTGGTTCATTCCACAACCAGCTGCTCCGGGTCTGGTCACTGCCGCTCCCGACCTAGTTGCTCTGGACTTGGCTGCTGCTGCTCCGGGCCTGGCCGCTCCCAGCCTGGCAGCCGCTGCTCCGGGCCTGGCCGCACCCGACCCGCCTGCTCCCCCGGGCCTGGCCGCTCCCAGCCTGGCAGCCGCTGCTCCGGGCCTGGCCGCACCAGCCCCGCCTGCTCCCCCGGGCCTGGCCGCTCCCAGCCTGGCAGCCGCTGCTCCGGGCCTGGCCGCACCCGACCCGCCTGCTCCCCCGGGCCTGGCCGCTCCCAGCCTGGCAGCCGCTGCTCCGGGCCTGGCCGCACCCGACCCGCCTGCTCCCCCGGGCCTGGCCGCTCCCAGCCTGGCAGCCGCTGCTCCGGGCCTGGCCGCACCAGCCCCGCCTGCTCCCCCGGGCCTGGCCGCTCCCAGCCTGGCAGCCGCTGCTCCGGGCCTGGCCGCACCCGACCCGCCTGCTCCCCCGGGCCTGGCCGCTCCCAGCCTGGCAGCCGCTGCTCCGGGCCTGGCCGCACCAGCCCCGCCTGCTCCCCCGGGCCTGGCCGCTCCCAGCCTGGCAGCCGCTGCTCCGGGCCTGGCCGCACCAGCCCCGCCTGCTCCCCCGGGCCTGGCCGCTCCCAGCCTGGCAGCCGCTGCTCCGGGCCTGGCCGCACCCGACCCGCCTGCTCCCTCATTGTTGATGTTTTTAATCTATCTCCTTCTCCCTTCCTTTCTGACTTCCATAAAAATATATTAAAAAACCAAAAGGAAAAAAAACTCGGAACCCTGGGTAGGACACTAATCCAGTTAATGAAGGCAAGAACCAGAGCAGTGAATCTTATTTTGCAAAATTACCTGGAAGGTCCAGGATGAGAGAAATGTAGAAAGAAATAACTGTGTAGTACAGCTACCCTCTGCCACTTTGAGCCCCAACCCCCCCATCCCCCCATTATTTCTATGGTTAATTTCTCAGCAGCTTTCTTTCAAAACCACCACCAAAATTCCACCTAACTCCGCAGTAATTTATGTACAAAGAAGACACACCTACCACTTTTTAAATAACCAACTTTCTTTTTTTTTTTATTAGAGCAAATACAGTTGTGAAAACTGTACGTTATACATTTTGGTTTCAAGAATTATAAATAAAGGAACTCACAGGTAGGGAGTTCTTTTTTTCACAGCAAGAAACTTTAAATAAACAAAGTCATGTTTTATTAAGTACACTGGCAGACTTCATGTGCTGTCCAAAATGTAGAGTACAGTATAACAACCCATTAGAAAGAGCCTTTCATGTAAAATACAGCTGTGCACATTTTAGAAAAATACCGACAATTTGGGCTTTGTTTTAAAAAAGCTTATAAATCATACATATATTTATAAATGGAACCAACATGCTTACTGTATAAACATATCCTTTCCATTATCTTGTTAACCCATCGTTTCAAAGCCTTACACATTTTTAAATAAACACTTAATAAGATTAAATATTTTATCTTTTTAAAAAAATCAGCTTTCCCAGCGTAAAGAGCTATGGGGTTAGGAAGGAGAAGTGAGAGGATTGAGAATGACCCAGGAACTTAAACATTTCTTGGGTAGAAACATTCTTCCTAAATTTCAAAGTCAAAGCAAAATGTAAAAAATAATTGAATATACAAGTTGTAATTTTCATTTGCTCTTTTTCTGCTTCCTGCTCTTTTCCATGTTGCTCACACCCAGGATTCTCAATACATTGCACTTCTGCAAGAAACGCCACTGGGTGACTGCCCTGCTGGTGACCAAGCACCCAGTCCACCCCTGTGCTAACATGTGAATGGTCTCTTCCACATTGAAAGGGTAGCAAATAAGGCCAAGAGAATCGGTTAAACCATGCAGATGGTGAAAAATACTCAGGAATAGCTCCCTCTCCACAATGTCATGTTTCACAGAGATCTAACAGAAACCTTTCCTCCCCTGATTGCTTTTTTTAAATAATTATTTTGAGAAAGACCCTGTAGTTTCTCGAAGTAGGCATGCTTCTGAGTAATAAAGGATACATTATAAAACAGCAAAAAAAAAAAAAAAATCAGGTTATGCCAGAATAACAAAGGATGGCGAAAGACAACTATTGAAACTAAAAACATCTAAGCCTTTAAGATGTGAAATAAAATTAAAAAAGGACTTCGGAAAAACACAGACGGCATAAAATTGAGAAGCGGTGATTTTACAAAGCTTTCTGCTCTACCTGCATGTCTTCAACAAAAATTTTCAGTTGGGAAAAAGAAAAATAACGGGAAAGAGAAGAGCAGTTATTAATAGCATCTTGCTTAACTTTCATGGGAATTAACATAGCCACTGACAAGATTCTATTTGGTTGTAAAGTACGTCAGCAATGAAACCGAATCCTCTAAACACCGATTAATGCAACCCATGCAATATTCTGGCTTCTTAGAATTCTGTTGTCTTTTCAGTTTTTAGAATTTAGCACCTTCCCGAGTGCATAAATAACTCATCGCAGTTAACGTTAAACATATTTAAAATTAAATTATTCCTTAGGAAGGTAGGATGCTTTCCAATGGCTACGTTTTAAAGATAAACAACCTTTCACCGAAGGTTTAGGAAGACTAAGTGGCATTACAAAAAAAAAAAAAAAAATGCTGTATTCTTGTCAACATCAACACGTTTCCTCTAGATTTCAGTTGTTTCCTTTTCCTTGAGATGCAACGTGTGCGCTTCATCCAGCCAGGCCTGCACGTGGTCGGTGACCGTGCATCCTCTTTAAATAAACAGCAAAAAATAGTCGTGCACAAGCAAACGCAACGTTCTTTCCCAGAACGTGTGGGGGCGTGAAAGCAGCAGGCCATGGCGTAAGACTGCTGAGTGATCTGCTGCCTGGTCCGCGGGCCGAGGCCGGAGCGGGTGCTGGAGAGGCGGCGGCAGCAACACGATCCTCTGGCCGCATTCCTCGGGGCGGGCCGCTTGTTTGCCCAGCTCCTACCGCAAACGTCAGATGGTAAAATAGTAAGGCAGCTGTTGACTTCCATCAACAACCAAACACGCAGCTCCATACGTCTCCAGTTTAGTCACACTCTGCTAGGACAGATGGAGTAGCCAGTGCCAGGAACTTCGCCGGATGGGGCTGCTTCAGCAGATTTTAAAAAAGAAGGATTATTAGGGTTTGCGCTCCCAACCCTGCTGCCTGCTTCAGCTCCCAGAGGACCCCAAAGCCACACGGCACTCCCCCCGCCCGGGAACCGGACAGGGCCTCTGGCTGCATTTTCCAAGGTTCCTGTCTCTCTCTCGCCCATCCTAACTCCAAGCCGCCTTCCCTGGGTATGAGTCTGCCCGGGCTGTGCCATTTAAAGGGCTGATGACACCACTGGGCACAACCATGGGCGAAGGCTACTAGTTGTCATGGCTCCACTGAAGGGTCAAAACAGTTATATCACCGAGGAGCTATGTGGACTCACATTCAGGCACGGCCAAAGTTAAGGCAAAGGACAATAGGTCATTGTTAAAAAGAATGCGAATCTGAACGTGGGGCAAGAATGCTATGTTTTGTGGTTTTGTAATAGAAATCAAGGCTAGTCTTACCTTTCCTAACTCCGATCAAGTTAGAAAGTGAACAAAAAGAATGGCCAACCCGATGTTCAACAGCATGACCAGGACAATCATGACTGAATTAGGGCCCTGGAAAGAAAACAGAACAAAAAACAAGCATAACTTTGCCATTTTCATATCAGTCCATAAATCAGCTCGCGAAAGCAATTACTAAAAATATAAAAATACCCAACACAAGTTGCGGTAAAGGAGGCATGAATAATGACAGCAGTTCCAAAAGGTGTGAACTAAAAATAGCAATGCCGTATTTAGACGGAGCCATCTCTGAACTTTCACTTAAAAATGAAGCCTGCCTTGATGGAATCTCAACTAGGACTTAAAAAAACAACCTGCTACATTCGCCTGGCAATGCCGGGCAGCAGCCTGGGTGAGACACGGTCCCCTCATAAGGCTAGGGACTGCTGGGGGTGGGAAAGGCACTTGTGAAGGTGCGATCCGGAGGAGGAAGAGGGATTTCCTCAGAAAGGCAGTGGAATGTGGGAGGGAGACCTGTGGGACAGTGAGGCCTCCCGGGAAAAACGTTGGGAAAACTCAAAACAAGGTTCTCTCTCGCCTTCGCTGGGCGTCTTTTTCTGGACATCACCCCTTCCTTAAAATGAAAAACTACAAGTGGGAAGCTGAACACTTTCAGAATTTTTTTACAGGTCTAATTTTGTTAACCTTTCAGAGGTCAAGTTATCATGAAGAAGATTGATAAATACTGTCGTAATAAATATCTCACAGCCCAAGGAACCCAAACTGGGTTGGTTTGTTTAAAAACAAACCAGTTCTGGCTGTTGTGGCTCCGTTGGTGGGGTGTCATCCTGTGTACTGAATGGTTACTGGTTCAATTCCTGGTCAGGGCACATGCCTGGGTTGCAGGCTCGATCCCAGGTAGGGGACATATGAGAGGGAGCCAGTCTTGATGTTGATTATGCTCTCACATTGATGCTTCTCTCTCTCTCTCTCTCTCTCTCTCTCTCTCTCTCTCTCTCTCTCTCTCTCAGAAAACAAAAAACCCCCAAAACAAAAACAAGCCAGCTTTATATGATCCACCTTTTCAGATCTGCCCAAGCTTGGCCTTGTTGATTACAAAAACATGATCTTGATATTTACTATTAAAATAGTGTCTTATTCTCTTTTAAATATGTTTTTATTGATTTCAGAGAGGAAAGGAGAGACAGAGACAGAAACATCACTGATGAGAATCATTGATTGGCTGCCTCCTGCATGCCCCTGACTGGGGATGGAGCCCAAAACCCAGGCATGTGCCCTGCCTGCGAATTGAACCGTGATCTCCTGGTTCATAGGTCAATGCTCAACCACTGAGCCACACCAGCCAGGCTGGTATTGCATTCTTAAATAGCATCAGAAGTGTTCTAAAACTTGTCTCCTGACTTAGGTGGGGAGGAAGCTTTGTTCTTAAAGATGAGAGAACAGCTGTACTATGTTTGACTACTCAGCGAGACCACAATGAAACTGTTAGTCTACAAATGTCTTGGAATTTTGAGGGGCGTGGGGTGAGTAAGTTAGGAACTGCCACTGGTCCAGTGCTTGTTTCGCAGAGTCTAGGGCTTAGGTCACATATCCTTCAAGGAGGTCCTCTCCCTGGAGGAGGTCAGGGTGCGTGCACCGTTTTTCTCTATTCTACTACTTCACGCTTGTCATCTTTGTTAATTGCTGCCATCCCTGAAGCAGCAGGGCCCGCCTTGTTCACCGCTGTGCACCCACACAGGTGCCCGATTCTTCAGGCACCCAGTGTTTAATGAAAACTCCCATCTTCTGGCACTTTTCCGGTGACGTGGATGTGGTGAGCAGGCTAATTCATGGCATTAAAAGAAGAACAGGGCGCCCTAACCGGTTTTGTTCAGTGGATAGAGCATCAGTCTCTGGACTCAGGGGTCCCAGGTTCAGTTCTGGTCAAGGGCATGCACCTCGGTTGTGGGCACATCCCCAGTAGGGGGTGTGTAAGAGGCAGCTGATGGATGTTTCTCTCCTATTGATATTTCTAATTCTCTATCCCTGTCCCTTCCTCTCTGTAAAAAATCAATAAGATATATTAAAAAAAAAAAATAACAGGGCGATTAGTAGAATCAGGGTGGAAAGGAAGAAGTAAAAGTGGATGCCCTTGCCATAGGTAGTGTTAGTTCCTAACCCCCAAGGAAATGACAGAAGAAAGAAAATACTGACTGCAGGCCTTCCTATGCCAGGCCTGGGCCAGGACGCTGTGTCAATTATTTTTAAAATTTCTTCACAAGGGATTATTAGTTCCATTTCACGGAGCTGAGAGAGTGTGTTTCCCAAGGTGAACTCGGCCTGTTTGGACAAGTTAGAACTAGAATTAAACTTTGGCCTGCCTACTCCAGTGCTCATGTCCTTTTCTCTGCACCCCTCTGAAAGCCACAGGCCTCCGTTTAAAAAGAATGACTTCCCATCAACTGCCTTAAAATGGCATTCTCTTCTATTCCCTATGCTTCTAATATCGGAAAAACACCAGATGTTGGGAAGGACCCGTGTTTCTCGTGGACTACTTGTGTTGTAATCTATTAAAAGAGGATTAACCCAGGCAACTTCTCAATCAAGGTGAGCCTAGACCATATCAGGTGGGAAGCTCTTAAGACCCAGGAGATAATCCAGATGAAGTTTTAACATCTCAACAGTATGGAGATTAAGGAAATGCTATGAATGCCATGAACTTTGATTAGATTTTGCTCATGAATGTGCTACCAATTTTGGAATTGTTTCCACTCTCTGAGGTCAGTGGATTTAATTCCCAATCCCCAAAGACACGGATGTGAAAAAAGATGAGGGCATTTCTCTGTTAAACATATATTCATCCGTGTGATCTGTTCTAATAGACACACCCACTTATCCTACCGTTTATAGTGCCCTCTTTAAAGATGGTTCAGTAAAACCAGCAACAAAAGGTTCAACCTGCAGCCAGGTGAAAATTGAGTTCTGGGACACTGTGTCTGAGAGGCGGACGTCAGGACGTGAGCTCTGTGCTCATCGGGGTGCAGAGCTTTAAGGTGAAGGCCCATAAATGTGACTGCTGGCCAGTTGTAGCTTAAAATAGCAAAATGGAAAAAAAAAAAATCAGTCTTGCTTTTCAAGATGGACTGGGACAGGTGTCTTGAAGAAAGCTGTTTCAGGGCAAAGTGCAAGTCTTGATCGGGCCGTTTTAAAGCGCCAGAAGTCAGGAATGTGGGGAGGCTGGCTAACGCAAGAAATCAATCCCTCCCCCTTTTCTTTAAGAGACCATCCGTTCATTTAAAATGGTGAGGAATTAATTTCCTGCTAGAGAGTACAGCTTATTAACGTTAAATGGAAAACTTTCCCAAAAACAGAAAGACCAAAGCTTAGCTTAGTATTAACAGCAAATTTTAATTATAGGGATTGACTTCTTTATGAGTGTGGTTCAAACATAGCCTGACAAGTTTTTCAAAAACGTTTTCCAGTAGTTCAAAAGAAATAACGGGCAAATCTCAAAATGAACTTGGGAGCGGATCAGAGGAACAGCTGGGAAAAGGGCAGGCAGTAGCCGGAAGGGGTCGAGATTCTTAATTAGAAGACCCTTCACCAATTCTAGCTGACACGGCTCTACAGATGCTGCTCCTGACCCCTACCCAAGTTGCCAGGTTCCAAAATCCTCAAAATACTGTGGTATCACGTGAGTCTACATACAACCCCTGTCCACAGGGGCCACACACTTCGTCAGGGGGTTACAGAGCAATCCCTGCCATGGCCCCACCCCCCTCTCAGAATCAAGTAATTCATTGGCTCTGAGTGATTAGCCCGTGTCCCAGTAGATTTTATAGATTGCTAATCGCCAGGGTGATCCTGAGGGTGATCAGAGAACACTGGAGGACAGCAGGTCCTCGAACAGGTTGTTTTGTTCAACATGGTTTCATTGTAAGATGGAGGAGAAAAAACACACAACACTAAACAAAAGAAACAATTCCCAGCCAGAGCCACTGTCTGCGTGGGTTTTCCTCCTCCATCCCGATGGCGTGCTCATGAATGCACTGCTGTGTCTCCAGTGTCCCTGTGACGGGAGGTCAGCCTGTCCAGGGTGGGTCCCGCCTTGTGCCCCGAGCTGCTGGGACAGGCTCCCGCCACCCACAACCCCGAGCTGGAAGGAGTAGGCTGGAAAAGAATGATAGTACTTGTTTTTGTTTATCTTTCTTACATATATATGTAGCTCGCATTTATCTCAGTGTTGAATATTATAAGTGTTTTGGGTGTTTATTTAGAAGTTTGGTGATGGTTTTGTGACCAGAAATATGCTGGAACTTAGCTCTTGCTTTTCCCAGTTAGCCTGTGGTGAACTGGTTTCGTTACCTGTCATCTCACTTAAAGTGGCCATTTCTAAGAACCTATCTGCGTGCTGATGATGTGAAAGGGGGGGGAGGGACTTACTGTATTTATCAACTATTCATGCATCAGCTAGTTCCGTGTTGAAGCAAATTTAGTTATAGTTTTTGAGCACTCACATTGTACCAGGTACCAGGCTGGGAACTTTATAAGTATTAGCTCATTTAATCTTCACAAGAACTCTACGATAGAGGATGAAGAGACCAAGTCACTGAACCGTTAGGAAACTTGCCTTAGGCCACACGGCAGGGACTTGGACCTAGGGCGTTTGGTAGCTCAGTGCACACCCTCAGCCGCTAGCCTATCCTGTCTCCATAGGCTGGTTGGAATTCTAGATTGGTTTGGTGGGCCACCCTACACAGGGCGATTCTGACTCACACCAGATCTGCCAGCTGCCCACAGAGAGCACTGGCTGATTCAGTGTTGTTTTCCCTCAAATGTCTGCTTCAGTGTGAATGTTCCTATGAATTTCCAAGTTGTTATTTTATCAATCTCTTACTTACAGTGTCTTCTAATCTCAAAATTGTATTAAATTTTAGTACTCCCCAGTTTTATTACTTATTAATACTCATCCGAGGATATTTTTCTACTGATCTTTTAGAGAGAGTAGGAGAGAGAGGGAAAGACAAGAGAGAAACATCAATATGAGAGAAACACCATCGATTGGTTGTCTCTTGCATATGGCCCAGGCTGGGGAGGAGCCCGCAAATGAGCTATGTGCCCTTCATCAGAATCAGACCCGGGACCCTTTGTTCTGCAGGCCGACACTCTATCCACTGAGCAAAACTGGCTAGGGCCTCCCTGGTTTTAAAAGTTGTTCATTGACTAATTTGAGGGTAATTCTGTCACTTCCTACATCTCTGTGAAGGAAACAGTGATCAGGGTGAGAAAGGCAGCTTTTGGTTATTATTAGAAACAGAAGGTTAATTAAAATTTTCCCACGAAGGTGTCACGTCTTTTCTGACTTCTGGTGCCCATGGCAGACAAGGTGAGAGTTGCTCTGCCTCCTTGGGGTGTGGAAGCCAACCTACTGAGCTGGGAGATGCTTGGCTAACTCCAAGAATCACACGATTCTGCACAGACGTCAGACAGATGCTCTTTCTAAACAAGGAGACTATGAAGTTTATAGAGGGAACTATTGCAGAGAGGAGCTAGGTCACTCACCCAGTTATAAGACACCAGAGCCTATGCTTCCCCTGGGGCAGTTCTGGAAGTCAACTGAACCCCACTCCTGGGAACCCAAAGCTACAGATTACAGGGCTTCGGCAGTGTTTGTCTGATTTACAAGTGGGAAATTCAAACTAATACTAATAAAAATGTGAAGAAGCTTTATTAATCTGTGGATAAAAATTCTGAAAGCCAAATGAGAAGTGAATTATTACATTTATCAACTTCAGTAGTGATATCATATATATTATAGATATAATATCAGGATACTGATATATCAATGTTAAAAACTAAAAAAAGAATGCTTATTGAATAGTCAAGAGTCTCAAAGTTATTCTGTTTTGAAACCATCTATACTCATGGGGACTGACTCTCAGAAAGATAATTCAGTTAATCTGATAATATATATACTTAGGTAATTAAAAAGATGAGAATTTGAAAAATAGAGTGGGAACCAGATATTAGCAAAGTCAACAAACCTAAGAAGTTTCAAACATAAGTTGATTAAAAAATGAATTTAAATTGTTTAAATCTGTGAATACATTAAACAGACAAAAGAAACTGGTGATTGTATTAATATTCTTGTTTGCTAAAATACTAACCCACAGCTTTATGCAAATATGTCTCTGAAATTGCTAGTAAACATTGGGTTGGCTGTGGCTTCTACCATGAGCTAAACATGCAACAACTCTGTTCCAAAGGCATATGAATAGGTTGGTCAACTGTCTATATCAGAAAATACTCTGCTTCAGATTTTATAAATTCTATAGAATTTGATAAAGTCCAAATTCCATTTATCATTAACAAATCAAACTCATTCGAAAGCTAACTGGTTAAACAACAAAGGCTGATGATAAAACTAGCATCTACTAGAAATATGAAATGTCAGGAGCACTAACACTCTGAGGGGTTAGAACAGTGGTCGGCAAACTCATTGATCAACAGAGCCAAATATCAACAATACAACGATTGAAATTTCTTTTGAGAGCCAAATTTTTTAAACTTAAACTTCTTCTAACGCCACTTCTTCAAAATAGACTCGTCCAGGCCATCGTATTTTGTGGAAGAGCCACACTCAAGGGGCCAAAAAGCCGCATGTGGCTCTCGAGCCGAAGTTTGCTGACTACGGTGTTAGAAGATCATAGTCATCATCTTAAACAGTTGAAACCTGGCTTTAATTAAGAAAAATCCAAACAAAATATTTATGAGAATAACTCAAATTGCTAGAAAAGATTTTTTTTTTTTTTTTTTGTCTAAAGGTACTGTTTTGGGGAGTCAAAAGGTGGGCTAAGAACTTAGCAAATGGGGGTGAAGCCCTCTTCTTAGCTAGAGCTCTGAGCTTTGTAGCCAGTGCAGAGTCAGCTTTTGTTCTGGACTGCATGCTTGTGTCCCTCTAGAATTCAGATGTTGAAACCCTAACCACCAGTGTAATGTGATGGTACTTGGAGATGGAGGTCTTTGGGAAGCAGTTAGGTTATGAGCGCAGACCCCTCCTGATGGGATAGTGCTCTTATAAAAGAGAGGCAGAGAGAGCTTGCCTTTTCTCCTCCCCTCCCCCCTCAGCTGGGTGAGGACACAGTGAGATGGCCTATGAACCAGGATGTGGGTTCTCACCAGACACCAAATCTCTGGGGACTGGACCTTGGCACTCCCTACCCCATCTATGGTGTTTCTGGGAGAGCAGTCCCAACTAAGACACCTACCAGGAGTGATGCGTGTTGTAACCTACCTGAAGGATGTCTAAGGTGGACGGGTGGCTGGCTGAACATGGAGGAGTTTCTGTCCAGAAAGCTTATTCCCATCTCCAGCTACACACGGGCTCCGCTCTATCCTGAACAGCCCTGTGCGTGCCAGGACTTTGGCGAGCCTACCTGCCATCAAGGTGCAAGTCACCCCCCATGATGCTCCCCGAAAGAACCCGAGCGGAGGGGAAAGGAGGGGAACACACGGCTCGGACAACTTACTGAATTGGCTTCTTTTTCCGAAGAAGCAGGGCACGAATCGTTGCTTGCTGGGTTCTTTGGTATGGCAAGTTCAGACTTCTTAGCTTTTGGCTCAGCTTTGCTTTCTTTGGCAACCGGTTTTGTCACAGACTTGGGGGGACTCCACTTGTTGGGTGTCGGCTTGTGCACCAGCGCCGAGGAAGAGTGGCCGGATCCTTCGTCTTCCCGCCCGTCTCCCGGGGGGTTCTTGGGCGGCAGCTTCACGTAGTAGCCGTGGTACTGGGAGTGCAGCTCCCCGTTGCTGGGGTTGGAGACGTGGTGGCGGCCAGAGTACTTGGACTGGGGCCCGGCGGCTCCCATCTCCTTGGAGGGGGCCTTGGACATCAGGGGCTTGTTGACGGCGGCCGTCACCTGCTCCTCGGCCACGCTCCGTTTGTCACGGTTGAGTCTGGCCCCTGAGCTGGGGTTCTGCTTCCTCGCGGGCTGGGGGGAAGGCTGGGGCGAGTGGCTCTGTCTGGGGTGCGTCTCGGGCGTGCTCGGGGGCGTCGTGCCTTTGCGATAGAAGTGAGGAGATTCCTTGGGCGAAGGCGGCTTTTCCGGCACCTTCTCTTCTGGGTTTTCTTTCGCGTCCACGCCTTCCTGAAATCTCTGTTTGATATAATCCGGGCCTGGCGGAGAAAAGTGACAACAGAAGGGAAGGTGATAAAAATAAGGCATGAAGGTTTCACCCTCATCATAGGCATCTACAGCAGGTCCCCCCAAAATGTGGTTTCCCTCAATGCCGATGAGATGCCCTAGGAACTTGTATCAATTAGCCGGTGGGAAGACTGGTTTCATGATAAGTCATTTCACGTAACTTCATCCATAGGTTCTATTACTTTAAGTGAGTACTCAGCAAACATGCAGTAAGGCAGCTTAACCTTCTTTTAAATATACTTTTGAGGCTTTGACAAAGCATAAGCACATTTCATTCCCCAAAAGGTTACCTATTGCTGAAAATGTGTTTTTTACATTAACATATGTGGTACTTATACTATTCTGATGGCCATGAAAGTGAAACCATTGTGACTTCCCTAATAATTGCACTGGCCATGCCTACTTGCAGAATACAGAGGCAGAATTCACAGTGATGGAGCCCTGCTGACCACGCCGTAGGGATCTGAACACTCAAATTGGGTTGCATACACTCGTATCAGTGAAATGCACTCAATAAATTACACTGAGGCGCACCTACAGATTATATATCTATTGGGTTAATCCTCGCTTGATATCTTTTCCATTGATTTTTTAGAGAGTGGGAGGGAAGTGGGGAGAGAAAAACATCGATGTGAGAGACACGGATTAGTTGCCTCCTGGACCGGGGCCAGGGAACAAACCCGAGATCTTTTGGTGCGCAGGCCAACGTTCTACCACTGGCCCCACGGACCAGGGGAACCTATTTTTAAGGATCCTCCTTCAAAGGATCATTTCAAGCTCCTCATTCGGAGCCACGTCTGTCGTTTAGATTGTACTTTACAAAAGAACTCGCACACAGTCCTTCCCAGCATGGGCTTGCACTGCAGGCATCCAAGTCAAGACAGGGCCATTGTCTTTGGCCCTCAGGTCTCAGGACGGTTTATAACAATCCCATGTTATTTTTATCAATGGAAATCCTTTCATTCAAAAAAGGGACTCCAGTGCATTGTTATTTCATATGGAGATCTGGGGAGGGAGGGGAAGGAGTGAGGAGTAGAGACACAGAAAGGGCAGCACAAGATGGTACCAGTCACGAGCGTTTAAGGATGCCAGTGGTCCAGGCAGGGACAGCGTTCCCAGGGAGTTTCCTCCTTCTGGGGACTTCACCTCTCAGCCCCTCTCCCAGAACCAGGCCAGGCACACCTCTGGCCGCCACTCCACCACCAGCCACTTTTCACGTCACCAGGCGAAGCCAAGGCCACACAGTGCAGTGGGTCCTCTGCTCTGCACGTGGGCAGGAGCGGACAATGTCATCTCTCCCGTGTACGAGGGAGAAACCACCCCACCAATTGCTGACAGGACTTGACCAACTTGACCAGCTCTTGTCAACCACACAGCATCCATTTCCATTTTGCACCCCTGACAGCCCTGAGGGGCCGAAAACCAATGATCCTCGTTGTTAATTGACATGCTGCCTATTTATACTTTCAATTGCGCTGCCCTTGGTGGTCTGAGGAATGATTTGTTAGGAGATCGTTATTTATTATACAAGGTATTTTTCAAAATTCCAAACCTCACCAAACTTAAGAAGCAGGCATTATTTCGACTTTACTGATGTGGAAAAACCAAATGTCACAGAGCCTGTGCATCCTTAAGATGAGATAGAATACATTGTGTAAGGTGATGATTTAAGCCCATAAATGAGAATTCCTAAGGACCCACAATTATAATTGTATTCAGGGCAAAAACATAATAGCATTATCCCACCTTCCATCCTCCAAAGACAAACCCACCTCGGCGGTTTCGAATTTCCTGGTCCGTGTGGCCAGTGGTAGAGCGGTGGCCTGCGCACCAAAGGGTCTTGGGTTCATTCCCTGGTCCCGGACCAGGAGGCAACCAATCCATGTGTCTCTCACATCAATGTTTCTCTCTCCCCCCTTCCCTCCTTTCATGATCACATGTCAACAGTGCTGGTGTTTTTTCTAAATTCAGTATAAGCACCCTCTTTTTAAAAGCTGACAGTTTTCTTTTAAAAATAAATTATCGACACAGAGAAAGGCCTCTCGGGTGAGTGATGAAAAAGAAACTGCAGCTTCTTTTCCGAAATTTTCTTGGTGCTGTGACAGGGACATAGCATCCTGAGGGCTGGGCTTCACCCGCAGGCTGGCCTCGGGGTTTAGAACCCATTTGGGTCACTTCTGGGTGTCCACGGAGGGGCCCCTCCTTCTCCGATTGTGGAATTTTTCAGAGCCTCTCCCCTGTCAAAGCAGCTGCCCACCAAGTGAGAGCTGACAGCAAGGAGGAGACAGAGGAAACACCAACAGTGACAAGAGATGATTAGTTGGGGGGAATGACCTCAAAGTAATTCAGTCATCGTGGGTCCAAGGAAAATGTAACTTTTTAAAAGTCAGCACTTCAGGGAATATGCTTTAGTTATCTGGAAAAAGAGCATGAAACTATTTTAAATACAAAGCATATTTTCAAATGCTTTTTGTAAATACAACTCTGTACTTTAAAAAAAAATAAATCTTTATTGATTTCAGAGAGGAAGGGAAAGGGAGATAGAAATACCAATGATGAGAATCATTAATCAGAGGCCTCCTGGCCCTAGCCAGTTTGGCTCACTGGATAGAGAGTTGGCCTGGGGACTGAAGGATCCCAGGTTCGATTCCTATCAAAGGCAACGTTGGTTGCAGGCATATCCCCATTCCTTGGTGTGCAGGAGGCAGCTGATTGATGTTTCTCTCTCTCTCTCCCTCTCCCTTCCTCTCTGTAAAAAAAAAATAAAAAAAAAATCAATATATATTTTAAAAAATCAGCTACCTCCTGGACACCCCACACTGGGGATCAAGCTCGAAAGCTGAGCATATGCCCTGACTGGGAATCGAACCATGACCTCCTTGTTCACAGATCGATGTTCAACCACTGACCCACACTGGCTGGGTCGTCCCTACTTCTTCACTTATGCTCCCATTAATAGGCCAAGTTGGCAATACTCTGGCCACTGGAGGAATATGTGTTATGGATTTATGAAGCTATTGTTTGGACTCCATTGCACATACTCATTATGTTTATTAACCAGTCTACTCCCTCAGATCTGTAGAAACCTGATGTGTTGCTTCTTTTGACATTTTTTTCTATTCTAAATGTGTTGGGAAAGGCATTTCTTTCGCAATTGCTTGTGACACTCTCCTAAGATGCAGTTTTCAGGCATATTCCTGTGGATTTCTCTATAGGGCTTCCAGTGAAATTAAAAATCTGTTGCGTTCCAAGAATTTACTAGAAGGATGGAAGTACTCTCTAGCACAGGCTGTCCCATTTGAAAGGGTCCTAGCGTTACTATGCATTGAGCCTCGCTGGCTCAGGGACTCCATGTCCTCCACAGCTGTGGCTCCGGAGCTGCCGCCTCAGACACCTGGGGTACGACTCTCAGAGACTTAGATTCCGTGAGGATGAAGAGAAGCTTAGAAATCTTGAGGTTTAACGAGTGTTTTAGGAGGTTCTAACGGATCCAGCCACAGGCGCTTGAAAGTAGCCAGAAAACATGCTGACAGGCGGTGGTCCCTGCTCCAGCCCTGCGTGACTACATCCTGCTGGCAATGAGTCCAGGGATGCAGTCATATGGGGCCTGGGCTCTGATCGAGGATATACAGTTAACATTTCCAGAATAAGACCAAATGCATTTGGAACAAGACATTTAATATAAGGCAGAGGACAGATGTTGTTCCTGGACTACCTTCTTGGAAGGCACACATTGTGTCTGCTACTTGTCTGATGTAGGAATGTGTGTCAGCCTCGCCAGGCCAGCGTGAAGCTGATGAGATGCAGCAGTTCATGAGAAAGACTTGTCAGGACAGTGCCAGGGAGGAAAAGGATGGTGAGGGCGGGAGCACAAGGCATTTTCATCTGTTTTCACCCACAGGATCTAAGAGTCTTAAGGGGTTTATCCCTGGAGGATTCCTGTTGGGAATCGGGTCACATGCTCACGGACACCACACAATGTGAATCAAGAACATTCAGAAAATGCCATTCAGAACCACGGAAAGGTTGCAGTGGGCAGGAAAGTGCTGAGCAGCTTTGGCAGATGGTAACAGCAGGGTACCCTGCTGGCTCTCACAGGTGAACTTTGGGGGGCTGGCCATGGGCAGACGTGGCACCATGAAGATTCCCCTTAAACACATATCTGCAAGGGGGTAGTACTTGGGAGCAGAGGCTCTGTAGCGTCAGCAGAAGTCATGACATGGATATGAGGTCTCTTCTATGGAGACTGCCTTTCAGCAAAGCAGAGCCACATGGAACAATTCTAAAAAGATGACAGGGCTGGTGGGGAGAAAACCACTTTCCTACAGGACTTCCTGAACACAGCCACGGCCATCTTGTCTGCGGGATGTCCATTTCTGTCCCTTGCCTATGGCTGGTACTCATACACAGCTGTGAAACTGAATGAGTAAGTGGTAAGAATAACCAGAAAAACCATGAATTATTCATTACATATCAGCTAGTAGATTATTCCATTTCCCATTTTCTATGAAACAGTTGGTTCAGGTTTTGGCAAGTGAGTTAAGAGAAGTTGTCTATTCCAGAATGCTACTCTTGTCTGAACCATAAAATTTACATACTAATGACAGGCACAGGAAATTACATAATGAATATGTGCCTTATCTCTAAATTCAATTTTTATTGAATTTATTAGGGTGCCATTGGTTAATAAAATTATATAGGTTTCAGGTGTGCAGTTCTACAATGCAGCGTTTGTATACTGTATTGTGCGTTCACCAAGTCAGGTCTCCATCCATGACTATTTATTCCCCCTTAACTCTCTTCTAACATCCCCCATCCCCTTTCCTTCTAGTAATCACCACGCTATTGTCCGAGTTGTTTCTCCCCCCTTAATCTCTTCACCTTTTTCACCCAGTCCCTTTTTATCATTATATCCTATCTATTTCATTGGTAATTTATTTTGTTCATTAGTGAAACCATATGGTGCTTGTCT